TTTGAACTAAACCAGTTTATTCAATGACAATGAATATATTTATCATTAACACAGTTGTTATAAAAATCTACTTTTATTCTGTCTTTCAACAACATTATGACTGAACAAATATTTCTAATCAATAAAATAAACTCATTCATTTTCAGTTTGAGAATATGTTCAATTGAACCAAAATGTCTATTGTTTACATCATTTCTATTGTTTTATTTGATCACTTCAATTATTTGTTAAAAAATTATTAATTCATATACGAGTAAAATAAATATCTTCAAAACATTGACAGCTAATATCTATTATTACAATAATACTATCAATTAGTTGCTTTGATATAAATTGAGAGTAAATATTATTGAATAGCAACAATAAATACAACAAGTATTGATTATTTCAAAAAATACATTAGATGTGATTATAATTTAATGAATCACTTCTACTAATCATTAAAAAATGTTATAATACATAATAATCACAATCATTAAAGCAATAAAGATAAACTAATATTAAAATATTTTCAATTAAAATACAATTTTCAATCTGGTTCTATTTAATTTTTTGTTTCAAATACTTCATCCTACAAATATATTTTCTGCTATTCCCTCATTTCATACTAAATCATCTTCAAAACTAAATCAATAAAAATAACCCTCTCAAATTCTATAAATTATATTAGTTGAAATTAAACTCATTTAATGTTTAATATCAATAAAACATTCATTTCACATTTCACTAATTGTAGTTGATATATGAATTGATTTTAATAAACTACAGTATTTAAAAAAATCATTATCACATGAATTAACTTTTATTTATATTTTAACCCAATATTTCTATAGTACTTTATATATAATACTTTATTATTTTTCATTCTTCCTTTTCTTTTAAATAGGTTTATTAAATAAATTTGGATAATATTATTTCTTTATTTATTCTTCAAACTTCAAATATTTCATTTTTTATTATAATGTGATATGATTCAATATTATGAAATAACCTTCTTAAATAATGATTCTAAAGTTATGAATTAAAAATATAATTGTTTATATTTCATTGAAATACAAGAACAACAATTTCTATATCAATAAAATCATTAATATCATCAAAGTACATTGACAATTTTATTGAGTTATATCATAATTTTATTCTTTTTATGTTGTTTACTTTTCGTTATTCTGCCATTCAATTATATTACTTAAAGAGTTCATCTTTGTAATAAATTCTCTTTGCTGTATAAA